GGAACTGGAGTTACAGATGATTGTGAGCCACCATGTGGGTGCTGGGAATTGAACCCAGGTTCTGTGTAAGAGCAGCACAAGATCTTGATTGCTGAGCCATCTCTCCAGCCCTGAAACCCCTTTTTTTTTTTTTTTTTTTGAGACAAGATCTTGCCATGTAGTCCAAGCTGGTCTTAAACTCTTAAACTCAAGCTCCTCCTGCCTCAACTTCCCCAAGTGCTGGAATGACAGGTGTGTACACCATACCCAGCCACACTATAATGCTTTGTAAAAATGACAGTCAATTGGCACATCAGCTATATTCTTATGAGCTTTGCTAATAAAGACCAATCATGCTTTAGTGTGATTCCCTTTACCTCCTGTGCAAGAAAATAAAAGTGAATGAAGTTCTGTTATGAGTGAGCTAAGTTATTGTAACTTATTTTAATATTTATTGTAAATATTTATTGTAAATAAATATTAGTGAGCTAATATTGTTTTTATTTTAATATTTTATTTATTATTTTCATTTTATGTGTATGAGTGTATTGCCTGCTGGTGTGTAAGTGCCCCGTGTCATGCAATGCCTGCAGAGGTCAGAAGAGGGCGTTGAAGTCCCCTGGAACTGGAGTTTTAGACAGTTGTTCACTGCCATGTGAATGCTGGGGCTGGAGAGGTGACTCAGCAGTAGAGCACTGGATTCTTTTGCAGAAGATGGTTTTTGTTTGTTTGTTTGTTTACTTCAAATGAGCTTTATTAGGGATCAACTAAAAAATAAGGTACCACTTCTTTCTTTGATGTACTGTAATGGTAGTTTTGTCATCTTTTTAAAACTAATTTTTAAAATAAATAATTTATTGAGAATTTCATATATGCATATGAGGTGTTTTGATCAAACCCATGCCCACTCCTTCCCCTCTAACTCCTCCCATATCTCCCCATCACTTTTTCTGATAACTTCATGTACTCTTTCTTCTTCTTTGATTTATTTATTTTTTTTTATGGGGCTTTTGGCTACTCTAACATTCCTCCCTCTGAAGAGGTAACCCTAAAATCTTTTAAGGATTAGATAAAAGCTCCCAAATATTTTTGACATTTTTGGCCTTTGGAATGGAGTAGGTTACCAAGAGGCCCAAGGACATTGCGAGTTTTAGCGAGCTGGCTACTTTTCTTTGGGGTCTTTTTACCCTAACTGCCTAGCCAGTTCCTACCTCCTATTCTTATCACACCATCCTCTGAAGGGGTTACCCAAACTGCCAATAGGGAATCGGGATGCAGACTGCTCTGGCTTCTTCCATGCTGACCAGGGACACAGGGTGAGGCAATTGAAGTACCCTTTCAGTGGGTCTATCTAAAAGGCTCCCAAATTGCATAACTCTTATCTCTAAGGGGAAAAGAAAGTCCTTGACTAGTGAATAGGAGATGTGAAGGAGAAGTAAAGGCAAGAGTAATTAGCATTACAAGTTCTAGGCAGGGAACTAGAAAAAAGTCAGAACAGGGCAATTTTCAAATGTTCATACGATAGTCCATTGGAATTTCTTGACAAGGGCTTCTAAAAGCATCCCTTTATTGGGTTCCTCCTCATTTTTCTTTTGTCTGCTAAGGCTGGACTCTAGAGTGATGGATTCAGGATTTGCTTTCAGGTATTTTGATAGCTGTCAGAGTGGTTAGAATCAGTGTCAGCTCCCTCTCAAAGGCTTCTAGATGGGGGGAGAAAACAACTTTATCCATCATTTTAGAACAATAGCTGGTTGTCTCCCTCAGCTACAGGTGGGCACAGTATTGAAGACGAAGATTTGAAGTCTTACATCTGAGTAGCACTTTCTGATTCAGAACAAAATCATCAATGAGAAATAATTGTGTAAATAACTTTTTATATAGACTTAAGCCTAATGTCTGGGAAGTGTAATCTCTTGAACTCTTAAAGAAGTATACTGATGACTTTACTCTTTGGTTTTACTTTCCTTTTGGGTGTTTAAGACCATGCAGTTGACCCAAATAAATCAATTTATTTTTATACCTAAGATCATTTGAGGATCTCTTCCTCAGGGGTCACGTGGGCGTCGGAGGAGCTCCTGGCTCCTTTTATTATACCAGTCCCATCCATGTGAAGATAAGTCAAAGGTCCTGTTCGACCATGTCTGGCTTCACTTGGAAGCATGAATGAGATGTTTCCTCTAAGTTGACCCTCCTCTTTGTAGACTGGACACTGGTTCAAGTCCATCTCATGGGGTCTCCATGGCCTCCCTGAACAAGAGGACAGGTGACTCACCACAGTTACAGAACATTTTGAGAGATGTTCCATAGTCCCCTGGAACTTAGTCGACCTTGGAGGGCAAGGGGCAAAAACTGCCCTTTAAGTCCCTCTGACCACATTAGTATAGGCCTCAAACGATGGCTTTTGGCTGTTAAATATCCAATAAGGTTAGTTCCACTGGTCTGGTACTTTTAATTACCAGTTGCTATGTAGATAAAGCTAAATGTTCTCAGATAAAACTTGACTAGATATATATTTTGTTCCTTAAACTAGTTGACTAAACTTTGACCATAGAAATTCTAAGATTATCTGAATATTATTTTTGTCTCATCCTTTATATATCATAACAAACCTACACAGACCATCACTTGCTTAGGCTTTCTCTTTTTTTCTATTTTGGAAAATATCACCATTCCCATGTCCTTTTAACATATTTTACATTCTCATTTTCTTTTTCCTTTTTTTAAAAAAAAGAATTATGAGGCATAATAGCATTAAATTTTCCATCTGTTGTGAGATTTCTTTTCTTGAGGATGCTAAGCAATGCTTATTCCCTTTTAAGGTTCTAGTGTCAAGCCAATGTTTGATTAGTTTTACTGGGGAACCAATGAATTTATCGAGCTTACTTACTAAGTTAACTGAAGGGCTGCTGAGGTGTATGTATG